CACACACACACACACACACACACACACACACACACACACACATATTGCGTGATCGAAACCGGTTCCGCCGTGTGGATTTTATTTTTCCTTATCTTTTTTTTTGTAGGTCGTCGTATTTTTTCTATCTTTCTTCTAAATTGTCCCGATCGACCACGAATTACACACAGCCTTTTCACACAAACACACACAAACACACACAAGGCAGAAGGTCGACCAATCCCGTTGCAACAATGGCAACAGTGGCAGAAGGTCCGCATGGACTAAAAAACCAATAGACCTTGGACCGGAGAAGAAGAAGAAGAAAATAAGAAGAAAAAGAAGAAAATAATAATAATAATAATAATAATAATAATAATAATAATAATAATAATAATAATAATAATAATAAGAAGAAGAAGAAGAAGAAGAAGAATAAGAAAATTTATAAGTCTGATGGAGAAGTGACATTTTTTTAGCCGTTAGTCAAGTCGGATGTCGAACATTTCCGTCGTACCTGCCATGTGGCAGAAGGTCCGCATGGACTCAAAAAACGCCACGGCAGAAGGTCCGCATGGACTCAAAAACCGACATTCACATTATCAACGCCCACGCGCATATAGCGTTACCCGCACTGTACTCTCTCTCTCTCTCTCTCTCTCTCTCTCTCTCTCTCTCTCTCTCTCTCTCATTATCAACGCCCATGCGCACATGACGTTACCCGCACTGTACACTCTCTCTCTCTCTCTCTCTCTCTCTCTCTCTCTCTCTCTCTCTCTCTCTCTCTCTCTCTCTTCCTCCACCATCAGTCGCGCTTAGACAGAAAACGACCCAAAACTGTCATCTTAAAAAATGCAACACATCCCGGTCGCATTCTTCTCAACTTGAAAACGAAGGCGGGTACTGAAGCATCTCGTTTGTCATTTGTAGAATCGTGATCTGTTTATCCTTCTCCGCCAAAGTTGCACGTACTTCATCGCAGGATGCACAGGATGTGGGCTCCGAAGTAGAAACCTCCCTCTCTTTGCCCTTATCTGAGTCTGACATAGATTCGAACTTTGCACAGAGTTCGTTATCCTCTGCCTTCCATCCACCCCCGCCGTTCAATACTTCGTCGCAGAACCTCCACACCGTTTCTGCCTGGCTACGTGCGACCTGGAGAACTGCTTCAGCAGCCTCTAACCTTTTCATCGCATCGTCTCTTTCTTGCATCGCCTCACACAACGCACGGGAACTGTCATTAAATTTCGCTCGCATATCCTCCGCCTTCCGCCTCCATTGATCTATTTGTCGTCGTATCTGCATGTTGTCAATGACGAGGTCGTCACGACACTGCCGCAAAGTGTCATCCGCACAACCCTTTCAGTACAAAAGACGCCCATCTCCGGGCATGGATGTTCTCGAGGGAGATGTCGGTATCAGAAACCGTCCTCCCGTTCCTCAATGTCACGGCTATGAAACACCCGTGGACGCGTCCGCGGGGTCGAGCTCGGATGGCGGCCGTATATACGGCCGCGTCCGCGGCCCACCTCGTCTGCGCCGCGGACCCGAATTTACCATATTTTTCCTGAATTAAATAATGGGTAAAAAAAAAAAAAAAAAAAAGTGGTTGTAGGGATTTTTAATCCCTACAACCCCATTTTTTTTTTTTGGAAACAGATAAGTTTTTAGAATTATAAAAAAATAAGAAACAGAAAAGGTGGAGAAGAGAAATTCAAAAAACAAATTAAAAAAAAGTTTTTTTTTGGGGGGGGGATTTTTGGTTGGCAGTTCCTTGTATTCTTTTTTTTTACGT